GACTCTAAAATCGATTAGATAAGCCTTTGAAACCCCTAATATGTCAGATTTTTCGGGGGGCTTCACGATTGTATGGAAACAGAGCATCATGGTTAATCCAGCTTAGTAAACGGTTTTGTACCAGGTAGTCTGGCCAAGACAAACAAGTATATAGCATTCATATTTTTTTTTGTCGTGGTAGTGCAAGCAAGTTAAGTTAAGGCGGGTCGAGTCGACAGGAGCATCGCTAGCTGGAACCGCTGCTTCCAGCCGCTCGTCGCCCATGGTTCGGTTGGTAGAACCAAGTCTTCTCGGATAAGGACTTAAAATGGAGGTCAAGTGTATACATCTGGCTCGTGTGCACTTTAAAGAACCCATTGAATCTTTCGGAAGGGTAGGGGGTTACCCCGATGTTAAGGTTCATTTCAGCCCCTGTCGTTTTTGACATATTATTATTATTTTATCATCAGCCGAATGTAGTACAATTGTTTATCAGTGTGATTAATCTGCTCAATAAACAATTTTAATTACTTGTGCAAATATAAAGATGTGGGTAACCCACATCTTTATATACGACTTTTCATGGATCTCGACCTGCTATGTTAGAAGTTCATAAAGAGTGTAACTTAGAAGAGCTTAGCTGACTTTATGCAAGCACGGGACTTGGTTCTAGTCGGATTTGTAAAAGATGGTGTAGGTCTATAAACTACAGACCAATTAGTGTTCTGAGGAGGCCTACCATATCCAAAATTCTTTAAAAGATTATATAAATTGAAAAAAAAAGTTTTGGGGTGAAAACAATTTACCGTACTCTTTAAATTGCAAATTGGTATCCGAGAACATTTTCGACCGAACCAATCATCATTCACCTAAGTCCTAAATGATCAGGGAAATTCGAAAGGTCATTGTAATATCGGCATGGACATTCTTACCCTGTTGTGTGTAAAAAAATAAATCATGGATGTTAAGTCGGTTAATTTCAACTCTTATTTATCTAATAAGAGCTCCAGTATTATTATATTTTCTTTTTAATAACTTTATGTAATGGACACACGGAGTGTCAGTACGTCAACCGCCTCTTTTCGATCGTTACATCAATGGCACGCCACTACGTATCAAACGATTCAAACTTTTACTTTTATTTACACGCTGATAAGAACGCCACGTCGACAGACCGTCATGACCCTTAGTACTTTTAATAATCTTGGGTATCAGGCCCGTAGCCAGGTTCTTCCAAGGTGGGGGGGGGGTTCCTTGGCGTGAGGTCCACAGTCGAAGCCCCGGTGGGGTCCGTAAAACCCCCAAAGCAAGAGGATTTTTGTGCTTTATGGGTCTAAATAATGCTATAAAAGTAGATATGTTTGAAAATGTCTGTGTCCTGGTGGGTCTGCAGTGCATTAGTTGGGTTGGAGGACATTTTTGGGAAATTTAAAGAGGGGTTTTCGCCAGAAAAGAGGGGGGTTTGCTAGAGGGGGTTCTTTCGAACCATGAACCTCCCCCCCCCCCCACGGATACGGGCCTGGGTATGGTATGGATATAACAACTGGTTGGTCGAAATTATGTTGTATACGGTTCCTCTCAAAAACAGAGTGTATTTCATTTTCAGATAAAAAAAAAATTAAATAACGAAATGAATTATTTTAGAATCTACTACAGTATTAATGAACAGACAGACGGTCTTTTTTGTGATTTTTGTAAATTTTAATGTTGCTTTTTTTTTTATTATTTAGCTTTATGTTTTTGTTAGTTGACGCAATTCAGTGCAATGCTGCAATGTCAATTTTGGTCGTTTTAATAAAAATAAAAAAAGACTGAATGAAAGAAAGTATTCAAAGTCAAAATTTCATTAAATGCCTTGTTTAGGCCTAACTTTATAACTGTTTTTTGATACGCTTTAGGCGATTGAATGGCGAGAGATGCTAGTAACATTGGACAAGTATGTGCAAAAACACCCTGTTCAAATGGAGCTTGTCTGAAAGTGATGCAGTTGTAATTATGCATTTCTAAAATTATTTTATAAAAACTATTTTTAAACTACAACCGTAAGTGTCATAAAAATAAATTCAAACAACTGAATTTTTACCAGAATAAACAAAATATGAATAAAAAAGAATATAAATAAAATATACCAATAAAATGGTATGAAAATATTATGAACACAGATAATTACAGGTAGTCTGAGTAGAGAAGGAATGCTGCATATACATACATACACGTGTAGCCAAACACAGGCCTACAGTGTTATGTATACATTTTACTGTATTTAAACCTTGTTTCTCTAGGTTTTCCATTATACACAGGGTAATATATACTCTCGATTAAGCGCTGTGGCGCTTAATCAAGAGCGGCGCTTAGCTAAAAAAAAAATCAGGTTTGGTGAGTCGTTTCTTCGAGAGCAGCGCTTATTTGAGAGCAGCGCTTATTTGAGCATTTACGGTATTCTTAATCTCGCATATACCCACAAGTTGGTCATATGCCAACAACATCCATCCAGGATTATTTATATAGGCCTATCGATGCATACTGTTTCTTTTGCATAATATAATTTTTCATATCTAATTTCCATGCACTTTTGCTGAAATCGGCAAAAATACGGTTAGAAAATCGCATTGATTAGACCGATCGATTAACAATTTATAACCGACTCGATAGTCGCACGTTTAGATGCACTCTGTCTGTTTTTATAAAGCTTAGCTTTATAAAACGAAGAACAAAGGACGAATGAAATCGAGCGTGTATTTAAACTACAATGGGCTCCTAACTGGGTCGAGCCATTCAATAGAGTAAATTATTTTGTCTGTAGATTGTCCAGTCCTGTCCATTTTTTATGGTCAAATCAAGCCAGACGAAATTAGACCACATAAATTTTCCAACTTGAAAGTATAATTGCCACCAATACATTTTAATTGCTTTTTTAAAGATTATATAAATTAAGAATTTACAAAAATATACGTATTGAAATATTAACTCTATTTTAATTTAGAGAAGATTTACTACCATGTAATTATCTATATAAATGAATATGTTCAAATTAGGTCGAAATTCTATCATTCAGAAGTATGCCCATCCTACAGACCACAGAACGTCTCACTGTTTTTTTCGGATACACCTTTCATTGAATTGCAACAGACATAATTTGGGCAGTCACATTTGTGGCTCATCGCAAAATATGCTCCTTGCTTGATTTTACACAATCATTCAATAGCAACCAAAGAAACCAAATATTCCGGATAAGGCAATAATCGCCTCACCAAAAATGGCATTTACAGTCTCTCATATAGGCCTATTTGGTAAACAATATTTCTGAGAAACAAAAAAAAACAAAACACACTCTTCGTAATGGGAATGACACAACATAGATCAGCTATCAAAATATCAACCAGTAGTTCGAACATTTAAATTCAGTTGGTCATTCAATCTCAAATTTCAAAGTGATTGCAACAATAGACCATAATGCCAATTGGAGCGACAAAAATCGTAAGGATAAAAAAAAAAAATCACTGGGAACTTTTTTTAAAACCACCACACATTTCGGACTCAATATTAGGAACCCAGTACACTAAATTAATCCAATGGCATAGCAAATTTAATCTTGGCATATATTTATTATTATTATTATTATTATTATTATTATTATTATTATTATTATTATTATTATTATTATTATTATTATTATTATTATTATTAGTATTATTATTAGTATTATTATTACCTCTATTATTATTATTATTATTATTATTATTATTGTGTATAAGAGACAGTTATTATTGTTATTATTATTATTATTATTATTATTATTATTATTATTATTATTATTATTATTATTATTAGGAACCTTATCCCAGTACACTAAATTGATCCAATGGCATTCCAAATTTAATCTTGGCATATACATTATTTATTATTATTATTATTATTATTATTATTATTATTATTATTATTATTATTATTATTATTATTATTTAATAATGTTCTAACTGCCCTATCTACCTAGGTTATTGTTTCTAATCAAGACCTTTATTCATACAACTTTATGCCTTGCCGCTGAGGAAGGACTAGTATTGTCTGAAAGCTCTGGTTCTAGTTATGGCTGTTTACTTAAATTTACTTTTTAGCTGTTGCTTATCAAATAATTATCGCTAACAAGATGCAGACATTTTTGTTTTTCATCATTGTTGTTTATCATAATTTGGCCTTTTAATCTATATATAGGCCTAAATTTTAAACCTTAAAGAAAAGGGAATATGTGAGTGTGAAAAATAGGTGCCTCAACCGTCAACAGGGGCGGATCCAGATCCAGAGATGTCCGAAAGGCGGGGGTGGGGGGCGAAAGGGGACCAAAAGTGAGGCCGATCGAGACAACACTACCCTAGGGGGCCTGGGGGCTTGTTCCCGCTAAAGTTTTGCTTACTAGACGCCCGAAAATAACCCCCGAGGCGTTGATTTATTTTTCCTTCCTTCTTTTTTTTTTTTTTACCGATATATATGTATGCGGGTATGTATAATTTGTGATAAACGCAACTGGACAAGTTGGTCATGTTTCATCTCATTTTATTATGGCGATGTTTAATACTGATTATGACATCCTATTTCCGTATCGATAATGGTTCTATATTAAGCAAAAACGATTTTCACGGGTTTTTGCCATACCTCAATTCCCTACTCAGCGAGGCAGATTATTGTATTGAATACCTGGGTTATAATAATGTCCTACACAAAGCTGGATTTTCGACTAAATTGGAACATAAAGCCTCTAAAGACTTAATAACGATTGATTTTATTGATTTTTTTCTTCCTCAACCATCTGTTCTTCTAAATCAATGTAATACTGTCAAAGCTACCATTGCAAAAACAACTGCTCTGATTGATTTTTAGCCAATGAAAATACGTTTAATAATTTACGATAGGCATTTTCTCAAGTTTCAACCAATCAGCAAGCAAGTTTTCTAGTTTTTCTATATGAATCGATGACACTATATAAACTGGCCCTTCGCGTAATAAGGGTACAGAACCAAGTTTCCTTTCGCTTGTGTTCTAACCCACACAGTTCAGTTTTAAAATAATTAATTCGTATTGTGCATTGAAAAGAAAGGTTAATTTTGTCAATCAAATACTACAATATTTAAAAGGAATAACGCAAGAATGACGCCGAAGGCGTTTTTCTGGACGTTAGTCCTCAGTCTTCTTTACTTGGCTAGGTAAGTAATCTCAATTTCATTTTCATTTATTAATTTGACATCAAACGGTCCAGGGGTTGCCGTCAGCAACAATGCGAGATAACATAAATGTGCTGTATGAGATACGTATTGGTTTTGCATTACGTATTGCATTTTTCAATCTAAAACATCCACTACAGTATTTATTTATTCGTTAAATATTTTAGGAGGAAAAACATGAATAAAGAACGATAGTTAGCCAATGAACGGTCAAAGGCTCGTCGTTTTAACAGATGAAAACAGGAAGGCTAGCGATGCTTGTTTAATTAATTTTATGTTAAATAGGCCTACCTTGACTTTTTGGTGACTTTGGATCGAGAATTTTGCTCAAAACATCTTCAGTTTATAGGATATAAACCTTAAGTGATGACCAGTCAAGACATTTTCGGAACCCGCACTAAAATAATTCACAGAATTTGACATACCACACCACAAGGAAGGAAGTTCCGGTCATCAATAACTCGTATCGCAAATGTCATTTCTTATTTAATTTTTGTTTTTTGTTAATATACAATATATATAGGCTATGGATGGCTTCTATTTTGAAACATTCAAGTGTTGTGAATTCCTCGCGCTCCAATAGATCAATACCATGACAATCTTTAAAATGTCTGAATGACATTCGCTTTTTCCCCATAACAAATTTAGAGCCTTAGTTTTTGTATATAAACTTTATTTCTAAAATCTAAATCAATCTTGTAGAGTGCGCCGTTGATATATTCAAGTAAGTCAGTCTTGTTTAAATTCCACCTCATCAGGCACCGTTGGCTACTCATGCCGCCGAATAGAGACGTAAGAACCCATTACCATCTCGAAATTTGAATCATCTTTTATCAGCCCCAACATTCTTTCCGATGCTCTCCAAGCCTTGAGTGTGCTGAAAATTCAGATTTTTCTTTTAACCAATAAAATACCAAGATTTTCTTCATTTAACTTTAACACAGTCTTGATGAACCAATTCTAATATATACGGGTATATAATATTTAAGCTTACAATAATTGGTTTCGAGACCTAAAACCTTCTCTTATTTGCCGCGACGAAACGAGGCACCTACGTATAAAAAAAGTTTTAGCAATAGTCGTTCCATGTTTAAACCGATGACAATATAGGACCTAGGCCTAGTAGTAATTCTTGATTCTTCATAATGGACTCATCGGTCAATGGCGGAGCCGGGAGTGAGGGGGAGGGGGAGGGGAAGGGGTATTGTTTTAAATTTTGAACACTCCTGGACCCCCGTCGTCTGACGCCACGACGAGGTCGTAAAAAGCCTAAATATTAATTTGGCGATCTAATCACAGTTAAATACTTGATCCAATCCTTAATGTTGTCGATGTATAATAGCAGCATCATGAAACGGCTTTGTGGTAGGCCTAACCTAGGCCTATTCTAGTTTGCCTATCTAGAGGCCTAGCTATAGGATTAGGCCGAGGCTGGGCATAGGCCTATCCTAGCTAGCTTCCACAATCAAGAAGGAGGGATTTGTTTAACATAACTTTATTAAAGGTACGGTAGGCGTGAGGCCGCGTCATAGGCCGTGGGGCCCTGATTTTCTCCAGACTACTTAGCTCAAGCAGACATTTTTCTGTTCAGGCCCGGACCTATAATTTTGAGTGTACTTAAGAGCCTTAGTTTTTGTATATAAACTTTATTTCTAAAATCTAAATCAATCTTGTAGAGTGCGCCGTTGATATATTCAAGTAAGTCAGTCTTGTTTAAATTCCACCTCATCAGGCACCGTTGGCTACTCATGCCGCCGAATAGAGACGTAAGAACCCATTACCATCTCGAAATTTGAATCATCTTTTATCAGCCCCAACATTCTTTCCGATGCTCTCCAAGCCTTGAGTGTGCTGAAAATTCAGATTTTTCTTTTAACCAATAAAATACCAAGATTTTCTTCATTTAACTTTAACACAGTCTTGATGAACCAATGCTAATATATATATAATATTTAAGCTTACAATAATTGGTTTCGAGACCTAAAACCTTCTCTTATTTGCCGCGACGAAACTAGGCACCTACATATAAAAAAAGTTCTAGCAATAGTCGTTCCATATTTAAACCGATGACAATAGGACCTCCTAATAGTAATTCTTGATTCTTCATAATGGACTCATCGGTCAATGGCGGAGCCGGGAGTGAGGGAGGGGGGCGGGGCAGGGGTATTGTTTTTTAACTGTTGGACACTCCTGGACCCCCGTCGTCTGACGCCACGACGAGGTCGTAAAAGCCTAAATATTAATTTGGCGATCTAATCACAGTTATTGATCCAATCCTTAATGTTGTCTAAATGTACAATTTTGGAAGGCCTAACAATCTCTTTATGAACACCACCAGACATTATTCTGGGACCCAACCGAGGATTCAGTGACTTTGGTCCGGATGTCGAACAAATTGTATCCCCGTCGTAAAATTTAATGGAGTACGACCATACATGTGACTGTCACGACAAAATGAGCTCTTTATTTGGGAATATCCCCAAACGGCGCCGTAAATACTGGAATAGAAGCCCGGCATTGGATTTATTTTCCAATTGGCTCCTCAGTTTCGATGCTTTGCGAAGTAAGGGGGTGCAGCTAGGGGTGGGGGGAGGGGGGGAGATAATTTTGGGGAATTACTACTAAAAACAATAAATAGGGCCACTGTAACATCAGTCTGTATCCGCTTGGAGTGTATTAAAGCTCCCCCACCACTTCACCTTCCCCAACTTCACCTTTACTTCCCCCATCTGCACCCCATTTCAAGAATGGATAGCACTGCTTCAAGTCGAGGTTTTACGGAACACCTCCTTGGATACCCTTATTTAAGGAGACATCCCTAATAATGGGACACTTTTTCGGCCACAAAACTAGAGAGTGAAAATCTTTTAACACTACGGTCAACCCTATCCAGGGGACCAGGGGACAAATTTTGTTGGTCCCGAAGGTGTCCTCTACTATTGGGGTTCTCTATATTACAACAGTAGGTATGATTCTGTTATGTCGTCCTCTAGAGTAAAAGCCACAATAAAAATAACAAAAAAGTGAACGCGGTTCATCCGAATAATGCTCGTTGTTTATATAAATATGATAATACATAAAAAATTAGTGTACAGCAAATTAATTACTGTATTGGTACCGTATTGAAAATGATGTGCGTTCCATTGACATTAGTGCTTGTAGTAAGTACAATTCTAACGTCGATGTATAATAGCAGCATCATGAAACGCGGCTTTGTGTAACCTAGGCCTATTCTAGTTTGCCTACCTAGGCCTAGGGTAGGATCTAGGCCGAGGCTAGGGCATAGGGCCTAGGCCTATCCTATAGCTAGCTTCCACAATCAAGAAGGAGGGATTTGTTTAACATAACTTTATTAAAGGTACGGTAGGCGTGAGGCCGCGTCATAGGCCGTGGGGCCCTGATTTTCTCCAGACTACGTAGCTCAGCAAAGACATTTTTCTGTTCAGGCCCGGGCCTATCCTTTTGAATGTACTTAGCAAGGCTAATAATAGCCAAACATTGTCGGAATATATCCACAGTTGGCCAAACATTGTCGGAGTATAAATCTACAGTTGTTTTATTTCACCCCTAGGCTAAACCTATTTTTAAATTTAAAATTAAATTTTCACTCTGATAGTATTCAATGTAGAAACATTCAAGGAAAAAACACAGAAAAGTAAAAAAAGCATCTTATCACTGTGGCCCATATCCAGTGCTTAAACATCAACACTTGCTGAATAGAAAGTGCCATAGCCTCAAATCTAGTGGCTAAAGAAAAGGGTGCTGAATTTGAAGAAGAAAGTATATTTGAAAGTTTTCTTATGTGGATCAGTGATACCTCAAAACAAGCTCAGATTTGTGTTGAAAAATGCAAGGATTATAGGTGCCCAAAATCCTAATTTACTGCATAATACATTGTTTGTTTATATGTTGAGATATAGTGAAACCTAATTTTCAGCAAAATTTGCGTGGAAATAAGCCTTTATTTTGCGAAATGCGCGGACACATTTCAGACAATGTTTGCATGAATATATTCCCCGCACAGGCCTTACTTGACAGTCTGACACCCCCCCCCCACATCTATTGGTGGGGGGGGGAGAAAAATAATTCGCCTGTGAGTAAGATTTGTATGTGTATTGTTTATATATGCAACCCTAACCCCTAAATGTTAGTCCTGCAGGTTTCGGCCAAGGTCCTTGAGAGAGGAAATTGGGTGTTTTCCAGGGTGGTTAAGCCTCCAAAAATGACAAATTTGGGGTTAATTCAAAGGCTTATTTAATGAATTTTATGTAGAATGTAATTACAATTTTTTTCTTCTCCCCAACGAATTGTGGTTTTTCTCCCCGACGGTGAGAATGAAATGACAATGAAAAAAGTGATTAATTGGTTGCAATGAATTTGTAGTTCTCAAGAATCTGTTCCAGTAGAAGATGTGGATGGCCATTTTTGTGATGAAGTCACTCAAGTACTTGAGCCTGTGAATCAAGTATCCACAGAGTTGAGAATGCAAACTGTTCAAATCAATTGCAACGATGCACTTAGCAGTGATTCTGACCTTAATGAAATTGGCGGCGGTCGTTGCACAGTTTCGAGGTAACTATGGTAGTTTTCAACATTTCACACATTCCCCTGATTTGCCCAATATATATGTGGCAAAGACAAGCCAAACCAGTCACTCATTGCAAAAATCAATTTTTGATGAGAGCTATAAAATGGTAAAAGAATCATTTAAGTCCAACATTTCATTATGAAGTTACAGGAATTTAAACATAAGCTGTTTAAAGAACAGTATTTGAGAAATCAGACTTTAAAGTTTAGGGTTTCAGGCAGAAATCATCCCCAAATTATTAAAAATTGTTGTTTCACTTGCAAATGTGGAAAATAAAAACAAAGCATGATATATAAAAGTTTAGTGCAATTAAATAGATTTCAAAAATTTTGAAATCCCAGGATGTTTTAGTCATTATCTCTTAACAGGATTTGCGACGAGTGACTGGTTTGGCTTGTCTTTGCCACATATGGATGTAATATAACATTATTATCATGCCTTCACACAATAGCTACCGTATTATAATTAATAGTCATTTTAGCTTTGACTGATTGAACAACTGACCAATCATAAAAGGTCCACAAGTGGTTTCAGGTTAGAGGTCAAATACACAATCTAAGTTTATACTTTTGTTTTAGGGAAGTGGCAGTTCAAGTAAACGGTACTGACACCGTCACACGTAATGTAACAACACGTGTGTGCTGTGATGGCTGGGAGGGTGATGACTGTGACTCACGTAAGCATTATTTTAACATTCATACATTGTTTGATCAAAACCATGTGTAGACGCGCTTATGAAGACCCAGATCGTGAACATTGTGGTTATGAGGATATGATTGTTTAATGGCCTATATTAAATGCAACTCAATATTATATTATTATTATTATTATTATTATTATTATTATTATTATTATTATTATTATTTTTATTTATTTTAAAAATTTGTATTAAGTCTATGTTTTAATTTATTATTATTGTTTTTAGTATTATCATCATTATTTTATTATTATTATATTGTATATTATTTGTATTATACATACAATATCTATATTAGTCCCGGTGGCAGAGCCTTGGACTATTGTTTTTCCTATGTTGTTCAACCTTTTTTTTCATTGTCCATGGGATTGATTGTTGTCAATTTTTCATCACCATGATGGTAAGATGAGTTTGGTAAGTCTGATTGGTTTTAAACTTGGCAGAATGCAAGAAGACATTAAAAAAAATGAAGCCTATTGTATTGGTACATGTTGTGATTATGCTAATTAGTCATTTACATAATGAATACTTAATTATTCAGTACATTATAATTCCAGTTAGTGCCCAGCTTTAGTTATAGGGAGCTTTTGATTTGCGCGACATTGCGACGCTGGAACGGAATCGCTCATGCGTGACCGTCCTACCGAGCGTCCTACGTTCTCTGCGTACATAGATTTACCCAAGTTGCATTCTAGAATCCACGCGATGAGGAGAACTTAACATTCTTGCATGTGCAGATAACTTTTAGTGATGTCATTATGTTCTACGTCCTACCATAGTCGTGCAATCGAAATCTCCTTATTAAAAAAGATTGGTCAATAAGTTTGATCTTCAAGCACAAATACAACTTTATAATCTTCCTGTCCACCATCCATTATCACCCTCCTAAAAAACGAGTATTAAAAACACAGCAAAATAATAGTTTAAATAATATGTTTTCTTAAATGCCCTGGCTGTGAATGTGACTATATTGGTAAGACAGGCAGATGCCTTACAACTAGAGTATCTGAACTCTCTACAATCTCTAACAGCGTTATTCACAATCATATTGAGTCTTGTGATGATTTTCAATATATTGTAGAACTTCAAAATTTTGCACGATTAAGGACGATTTCCTTGTTAATTACAAATCCCCAATATATTCCAACACTACAATATAATGCCTTAAACCGATCTCAAAGCATCAACAGAGTTAAAATAACCCAACTTTATTTCCTCTCTAATAATTAAAATTGTTGTACTCACTTTGTTAATCCCCTCATTTGCATATTGTAGCATTTTTTGTAATCACTGTCAAAGTTTTCTCACTCTTGAAGATGACCCATTATAAAGGTCGAAACATTGAATCATGGCCTTCCTCTCATTATTCAGAGTAATGTTCGTTCTGTGTTATTTAAACATAATCAGTGCATCTGTTTAATTTGTTTATATATTTGCTTTCATAAATGTAGTTATACTGATCTCTTATCAATTTACAGCTGTCTGTTCGCCACTTTGTGCAAATGGAGGTGTGTGTGAAGCCCCAGGTTCATGCAACTGTGAGAACACTGGTTATGTTGGCAGTTCCTGTGAAGAAGGTGAGAGCAGTATTCAGCTACCGTATATGCTCGCATGTAAGGCAATCCGCGTATGTCGACCCCCACTGAGTTTGAAATGATTTTTGTATGTCGGCGTATAAGCAGTGGCGGATCCAGCGGAGGGCCATGAGTTAAAGAGAGGAAAGAGGAAAAAGGGAGTGCACCCATGAGTTCAGTGCAATCCAGCAGTGGGTGAAAGAAGAGCTCGATTATTTACCACTTATTTGCACCAACCATGGTGGGGCTGAGGTGGGCGTGGCAGCATGAACGTGAACACCCCCCCTCGTCAAAAATTCTCTGGATTCGCCCCTGATAAGACAACCCTCTCTCTTTTTGCTGCTTTTATATTCTTGTTGCATCTAGCTGGCTAAAAACCTAGCTGATTCAGGGTTTATCTTCCAAAAAATAATACCATTTCATTGGCTTTTAAATGTTCCTCAACATCTATACTTCCTTACATTAATTGCGTTCATTCATGTTAGCTTCAATTCAGTAGTAAATTCATGTGTTACAGACAATCTGCACATATCCTGTAAGACAAACATGATTTAAAAATAAAAAATTTGTATGTGTTGCACATATGAGATGACCCGTTGTTTTTCCAACGTAATTTGCTATTTTAAGCCTTGTTTTATATGTGAGAATATACGTGAAGCAAAGTGAAGCATTTTCGGTTAACAGTTTAAAGCCCTGATGATACAGGGTGAATATGACTATATCGATATATTGGTCTAAGCCATGTTATTTCATCTGAATTGTACAATCAATTTCCATTTATTTACAGCTGTGTGCAATCCACCATGTGTGAATGGTTCATGTAGTGGAGGTACATGTGAATGTGAATCGGGCTACAGCGGGGAAATTTGTGACATTCCAATTTGTACCCCCAGTTGCCAAAATGACGCTGTGTGTGTTGCTCCTAATAGGTGTCTATGTCCAGAGGGTCTAACTGGTGATGACTGTACAGAGCGTATGTATTTTTATGTATTATATATTTTTTCACCGCTCTACACATTAATTTTACATATTCGCATAGTGACGGCCATTCTGCATTAAGTGAACAACATGATATGGCAAGTTTATTGGTTCGCATCTTGCAGCACTCTCCTATTTTTTACCTCCACTTTTTACTGTGATTTATTGAGCAGGTTACTGAATTATATACTTACGTATTTACAGGGTATAAATTATTATTTTTATAATCTTCTTTCTAAGTGAATACATCCATATATTTTTAATATTTTAGTAAAAGTGAAATTTATTATCATATACCTATTTTATACACACATATTAATAGATAAATAATTTTGTCTCTTTTCCAAATGATCATCAAACTTACTGATTCCTCACAAAGAAACTAGAGTGTTACAGTTTCACCAATCTTCCATGTTGATGATTTAAGAATAGTTATCTCGGCTTTGAGATAAATTGAAACCATGTTAATGTTGTCTTTTTTGCAGAGATTTATACATGCGAAGTTCCCTGTGCAAATGGCGGAACTTGTGGCGCGGGGAGTACTTGCGCCTGTGTAGAGGGCTGGGGAGGGCCCACCTGCGAAGAAGGTGAGTATGTAACACATACTTTCCAAATAGATTAATATGTGCAGTTGATCAGTTGCTGAGTGTTCTTTCAAATGCTTATAAAACTAAGAGAGGAGCATCTTGAAATTCCCAACTTATTTGTAAGGTTGACATTTTTTTACTTTTCCAGTCCATTTAACAAAACTTAGACAATCAACCTCCATTTTCCTTCTTATAGTAATAAAATACTAATAACGTTGACAATAACGATTATAATAATAGCTGGAGCACACTCCGAGAGTGTATACCTTCACCCGCAATTCTCCCGAGTTTAAATTTCACATGCATCTTTTTCTTTTAGGAAAAAAAAATAATGAATACAGAATCAGAAACGCCACCGGTATTCAAACCAAGCGTACATCGTATATCAAAATAGACCCAAATGTGTTTTTAGTTATGTGCCATTGAGACTCTTCAATCATTGTTCCTTGGATCATGAAAAACTATTCATAGAAATTTTCATTCAGATCCATTGATCAGTTTTTAAGATATTTTTGTCTGGGACGGTCCATTTTAAGTGTTTCCACATGCACACACTACTCCGGAACATCAACAAAGTTGCATACTTTTTCCTTGGCCATGAGAAACCTTTCTAGAAATTTTTTTCAGATGCATTTATCATTTTTTTTTACAATCTAGGTATGGGAATTTTTCTTTAAATGGTCCTCATATCCACGTTATACTTTATATCATCACAAGATTTAATAATTTCTTTTTTTTAACATGACAAACCATTCTAGAAAGTTTCATTCAGATCTATTAAAATCAGTTAGCATTTAAATGACCCCCCACCCCTCCAGATTGATACCAGAATCAGGATTGTCACCAAAATTTAATATTATTTTTCTTGTAACTCGGTTAGATCTTCTTAAAAGTTTCATACTGATCAGTAGGTCAGTTTTTGAGATAATTACTTGGGGTCCCACATCCACACCTTACTCTTCGTCACTAAAATAAAAAGGAACCTTGCCTTCAATGTCAGAAATCATTTGTGAAGATATGAGGCACGTGGACCTGTAGGCAACATGTTGCTAAGAAACCCACAAACATACAAAATTCGATGAAAATATATCCTTGCGGAGGTAATAATAATAATAATTATAGTAGTAGTAATAATAATATATAATAGTAATAACATAATAAAAGTCAGCATTGCAAAAATTTAAAAAAATTAAAATATGAATTATAAAAAATTTCAAATATACTGAGCAAGATAATGATAAAATTAAATTAACTGAATGTTCCAATAAAGAACGAAACATAGAATCAACTATGGCCTCTTGTCTGTCATTTTTCGGAGTCGCCATACTCATATTTTATTTACGTATAATCATCAGTGGATTCTTTGGTTCTTAACTGTGTAATAAGACAAATCATTAATTTTTTGTGTAAACATTATGGTAATATGTACTTTGTTGAATAAATAATTTGACGAATGTTATGTTTATTGTTTAGCCATTTGTGATCCTGAATGTCAAAATGGAGTCTGCACGGCACCAAACTTCTGTATATGTGAGGCTGGCTTTTCAGGGGCCATCTGTGACACATGTAAGTTTAACAATTTGTTCAGCCATGCTTAAACCTATGCTGTATACTAGGCAACCTATAAACAGTAGAGGTTATAAAAATGTTGTAAAAAATGTAACAAAATTGTAACTTTCAGTTTTCAGATTTTAAAATATTATCAAATAGTAGTACAGTATGTGTGCATTTTTTATTCAATGTCTCTACATTAATTAATTTATATCAAAGTCAAAGGTGTAATCTGCTTTAGTGAGATTCATTCATACATTTTTCCAGCATAGCCCATCTTCAGATATAATTTGATTTATATATAAAATAATAAAGTTAATAAAGTTCAGGTGGCTATAAAGTCATGTGATTTAACAGTTAATGGACCTTAAGTCCTGTCTCTTTGATATTGTGGCTAAGCTCCCACGGAATGACATTGTAACTGTATGATGTGCATTTGAGGGACAGCACATGTTTGTAGGACAAGCTTGTATTCTGGACCCAGTTCTGATTGGTCGATTGTAAGTATTATTAAAACTTAAATAGTAACTCCCTATAAAATTACCATATACAATGAAATGCAGCCGATTTTAAAACCCAAATGATTGTCTGATGCTCTGACCTGTGGTAGTCATTGCAGTTGCAATAAGATACAAATTATATGTGTTTTTCATAAATATATTTTTTGTTTGATCTTGTATAGCTGATTCAGCTAATGACGGACGTGGAATCTTCAACATGAGCATGCCAAGTAAGTGATTGAATAAGTGATATATTGTGTGATATATGTCTTGTAAGTGGGCAGAAGAATTTCACATTGTCTATAAAAATTTGAAAAAAATTTATGAAAACATTAAATCACTTTACTATGCTGATTATCTTAAAATAATAATGACTTATAGACCGCATATTTTGAGGAACTATATGCTCGTGAAAACAAAAATGGACCAAGAAAGTACTGTAAATGCTCAAATAAGCACCACTCTTGAATAAGTGCTGCACCTAACCTCATTATTTTAGCTAAGCGCCACAGTCTCAAATATGCACCGCAACGCTTCAATCAAGAGTAATATTACCTCGTGTGTAATGAAACTCTTCGAGAAACAGGGTTTTAAATACAATGTATACAGTGTTAAAATATATATATAACACACTGAAACAACAGTTCTTTATAAATGTTTATTTACAATGACGTAGGACCTACGATAGGCCTACTGAACTATTTGGAATACATGAGATAGGTGAAATGGGAACGGGCATGGAAAGTGTCCAGCTAATATTTTCTTATAAGCGCCGCTCTCAAAAAAACTTTTTTTTTTGCTGATTTTCAGACGTTTTACTCCAAATAACTTTAATTGATTACCAGCTAATGTTTATGTTCTATGCAGAGAGTGTAGATATTTTATCCATTTGTTAATTAGTGAAGATAATATTTTCATGTTCTAATTCTTAATTTAATTCAATGAAGTATACAATTACAAAGTAAGCAATTTAAACGATTTTATTTTAATATTATTTTTGTGTGTGTAATAATGACAACGTTAATAATAATTTTATAGTGCGTTTTGATCATGATATCTCCAGACTACCAAATTTTATTTGCCAAAGTATGTGACATACCTAAATATGGTCATGATGACATCACATCATGACTGTATAATATAGGCACATCAGATTAGATCACTACTGCCCCCCTCCCCAACAAAATATTATTGAATTAAATAAAAAAATAAAATGATATAAAAATAATAAATAGGTTTACTAGCTAAAATTTATAATGAAATGGTAAAAAATAAACGAAAATGTTTACTAACTAAACACAAACACTGTGTTCTTTTTTATTTTTTTTGTTGTTCTAATATACAGTATGATGTTAACGGCAGACCATGACAATGGACAGGATATTTGATGTTTGAGGCATTTTTCTGTGGAATGTTATATATAATGGTGGCATTACTATAATATTATTATTATTATTATTATTATTATTATTATTATTATTATAATTATTATTATTATTATTATTATTATTATTATTTAGTTAATATTTCTACTAATGAAATTATTATTATTTTTTACTTAACAGGCGGTATTTGCTCTGCCTGCTGCAACTCCCACTACAAGACATTTGACGGTCGTGTCATTATCTTTCCGGGCAAATGTACTTACACGATGGTTTCCATGTGCGACAACGATCCAGAAAGCTTTGGAGTTGATATTGTGACTGATTATGATTGTGATGTTGCTGGAAATGTCTGTCGTTATGCTGTTCACATTCGGTCAGTAAACATAGTTGTACAAAATAGGCTAAGTCAGAAATAATAAATATGGTTGAATACACCGATTCCGCTAGGTTGTTCATGTGATGTATAGTGTGTGCAAATTGTAAACAGGCAGCATGAGTGACGTTTGGTAATACAAAAATGTGTGGCTTCTTCAGAGTGTTTCTGCTGTAAAGCACGTATTTGATGTTGAATAATGATGGATGGAATGATAGTAAACCATACAAACTATAAACCATGTAAACTATACAAAATAGACCGAATTTGTCACCAAAGGTGACATCATCGCGATTTCACCGAGTGGGTATGAATTTGTAAACATTGGCAAAAGAGCTATGCTAATGCATTGAGTGGAGTCGAAAGTGGTGTATATTAAATCGTCTAAAATGTAGCGAAGTTTAGTATAGAGATACTTTTTATAACAACGTATACATTTTGAATGAATCATAGATTCATGAGACTAAGGTTGATTTGATTTAAATTTCCATGAAGACTAAAAATATGAAGAGTTTTGAGAGGCCTTCTAGGGGTCATAGGCCTATCGCTCGCGGGACTCGCCGCATCCAGTGCTGGCTAAGGTGATCGCTGTTGATTTAGAGGTACACATTCAGCTTAAATACTGTCACCAAGTCATTTTGTTGGAATTTCTGTATGTAATATTGGACAAACCTAAATTGCTGAATTGTAGAATAAGATGTTTCTGTTGACTTCGATGGCCAATGAGTCAAAAGAACGTTGTTTATGTGACTCTAGTCTGGGGCTAGCCCTGTGTTCATGTGACGAAGCTATGCAAACATGTTCAAGTTTTCCATCTGTTTATTTCACTCCATCTCAAATCTAACGGGTCAAAAGGCTGACGTTTATAAAAGAAATATTTTCCAGGGCTTTTTGATAAGTTATTTTACGATAAAATGTACAAATAAGTAAGTTCAAGGAGTTTTAAAATTTTACTTGAGTGGAGGCTTATTATTGTGTTAAAAACTGCTACCTAGCAGTTTGTTTTGATGTTATACCAACTGTAACAGCTTGCTTTGGTGACTAATTTGATGTATTGATTGGAAATTGAACTTTTGCTTTAATGGTTTGCTAACGCTGCAAAAGATACTTTTCATTTCAGCAACATTTATTTCTTTCATCTTTCTTTGATATATATATATATATATATATACATACAGTAGAAAATAATTAAATTGAGCAATAATAATATCAGAATAACTGTATAACTAATAGCAATTAACATATAAACAATGAAAGAGGCAACAGCCCTGGAAGTAAATTCGGTTTAAAGGTTAAACCGATACTGGCCCCAAACATTGAGATTTTTTGAGAAATGTTAGGCCTAGGCCCCTGATGATATGTACGGTCTGTTTAGGTATGCATGAGAGTCTTTGATCCGCAAACTGCGATTTTTTCCACGTACGATTTCTAAGCCAGCTAAGGTTTACGAAGAATCACATAAATTCCAAAACATACAAACCTAGAGAATGCTAGCATAAGTAAATAAACACTATTTTGAACAATTGCAGTGCCTTTCATTGACAGTTATTCTCACGTTAATAGTGGGCTGTTGTTTTCCAACCATAACATTACCTTTTCCTATACTTCACACCGATCTCACTTAAGTTCTGCATAGTTATACCCACTATATGTCATGTGACTGGGTGTAGGTAAGCCTTGTTGAATGTGTATTGGTAATGATTATTTTTGTTTGGTTGGAGGTAATGGTGGTAACTGTGATCATGATTATTGTAGTGATGATGCTGATTAAGGTTATCATGTGATATCTGTATTAAAATTTATGCATATTGCACAATATTATATAGCATGATATATAATCTTCATGGTATCTTCACACAGTCATGAAGGAGTGCTGTACACCATGTATCCAGGCAAGGTGCTTCACCGTGATGCCGTACAGGTTCGTGTTCCCCACAGTGAAGATGGAATGAGTATCGAATCCCTTGGCGTTTACTTGATCTACCAAGGAATTAATGGTTAGTATTTCAAGAATGATATTTTATGCAAATCCAATGGAAATGATTTTAAAAGTTGAAATTATAATATTATTGTGTAGGCATTTACATATTGATTCATTTTTCATTATCATTATCATCATTATCATCATTATCATTATTATCATCGTCATCATCATCATTATCAAAATATCATCATCATTACCATCATCATCATCATCATCACTATCACCATCATCACCATCATCATCATCATCATAATCTTCATCATAATCATCATCACCATCATTGTCACCATCATCATCGTCATCATCATTATCATCGACATCATCACCACCAACATCAACATCACCACCATCATTATCACCATCATACATTCTAATATATTTATCTTACTCAATGTGCTAGCCCTGTTAGTTATCTTACAAAGTTTTTTTGCAATTTTATGGTGAAAATATGTAAAAAATCTTGTGACATACCCATGTGACATGTAAACATTAATTAAACTTACTGATGTGAATGTAAAGCTGGTATTAGGCCCTGGGTCCTGCAGCGATTAGAATGCAGTGTCTGTACTGTAGGAATACTGTACTGAGTTTCTGTTCTTGTTGCATGTATTATGCACCCAGATTCAACGGCTTAAAGTTTTATCTGAAGAACAAGGTCTTTAAAAGCAAAAGACTTTACTATTACCATATTATGTGACACAAATTAGCGTATTTCTTTCAGGTATTAAGGTCTCATTTGATGGACGTGCAAGTGTATATGTGCACATGCCAGAGATCTACAATGATAATGTTTGTGGCCTTTGTGGAAACTTTGATGGTGAATCTGAAAATGACTTGGTGATGTATCCATTTACCGGCTCTATGGCAAATAGTGATGCTGAGTTTGGTAACCGCATGAAAAGTGGAACACGTACTGAATGTGCAGACGTACCACTTGATCAGACACACACTTGCGATGCAATAGAGTCTGACCAAGAAGCCATGAATGTGGTATGGTCAATGTTTTATTCTAGTTTTATACCAATCTTCTAGTAAAATATTTAAATTCTTTGTAGTATATGATTTAAATTCTTTATAGTATATGATTTAAATTCTTCATAGTATATGATTTAAATTCCTCATAGTATATGATTTAAATTCTTTGTAGTATGATTTAAATTCCGCACACTGTATATGATTAAAATTCTTTGTAGTATATGATTTAAATTCTTCATAGTATATGATTTAAATTCCTCATAGTATATGATTTAAATTCTTCACACAGTATATGATTTATAGTCTTCACATTGTATATGATTTAAATTCTTCATAGTGTATGATTTAAATTCTTTGTAGTTTATGATTTAAAATTCTTCACACAGTATATGATTTAAATTCCTCATAGTATATGATTTAAATTCTTTGTAGTATGATTTAAATTCCGCACACTGTATATGATTAAAATTCTTTGTAGTATATGATTTAAATTCTTCATAGTATATGATTTAAATTCCTCATAGTATATGATTTAAATTCTTCACACAGTATATGATTTATAGTCTTCACATTGTATATGATTTAAATTCTTCATAGTGTATGATTTAAATTCTTTGTAGTTTATGATTTAAAATTCTTCACACAGTATATGATTTAAATTCTTCATAGTATATGATTTAAATTCTTTGTAGTATGATTTAAATTCCGCACACTGTATATGATTTAAATTCTTTGTAGTATATGATTTAAATTCTTCATAGTATATGATTTAAATTCTTCACACAGTATATGATTTAAAATTCCTCATAGTATATGATTTAAATTCTTCGCACAGTATATGATTTATATTCTTCACATTGTATATGATTTAAATTCTTCATAGTGTATGATTTAAATTCATTGTAGTTTATGATTTAAAATTCTTCACACAGTATATGATTTAAATTCTTCATAATATATGATTTAAATTCTTTGTAGTATGATTTAAATTCTTCACACAGTATATGATTTAAATTCTTCATAGTATATGATTTAAATTCTTTGTAGTATGATTTAAATTCTTCACACAGTATATGATTTAAATTCTTCATAGTATATGATTTAAATTCTTCATAGTATATGATTTAAATTCTTCATAATATATGATTTAAATTCTTCACACAGTATATGATTTAAATTCTTTCTTATATGATCAGGTTTGTTCACATTAATGGCAAACTTATTTGAAGTATTGTGATTGAATTTTTGACAGGCCAGGGAACGTTGCAATTACATCTATTCAGAAGTGTTCGAGGCCTGCCATAATGATGTTGATCCTGAAGCGTATCATGGCTTGTGTATGTACCACATGTGTAATTGTGACATCCGTAGTGGAGAGGTCTGTGAATGTGAATCGATGACTCAGTACTCCCGGGCCTGTGCACAGAAAAACATCGTCTTGAATTGGAGATCAGAAACATTCTGTGGTACGTCATTCTTGGTTTCTTTGATAAGTAATAACACATTCTTGTTGCTACACTGTTACCCACAATTAGTTGATTTTTTAAAAAGCAGTCAAATACAATTAATACAAAATAGTACGAACCTACCCAATTATATTCTTCCAGTCTTTTGGTATTTTTTTTTTTTATATTTGTTAATTAGCCAAACAAAGAAACAATAAAAATAAAATCAGAAGAGAAAAGGAATTTTCTAACCATATTTAAAGAGGGTGACTCTCTTAACTTGTACTAGAAGGTAAACTAAACTGTGCTACAATATGACTACCAGAGTATCAAGTATGCAAAACAGCATTGTAGCCACGGCGGTCGGCGCTAGCCGGGGATGACTAGTACATTTGGTGACCGGGACTGATAGCAAATTTTAAAAATCTTATGGGCACAAAATTTGTGTAAACTTTCATTAAAATATCAGTTAAATATGTCACTCACATAATATGCCATATATTCCGATGTGGAAAGTCAATAAATTGGATCCTGAAATTCGGGGTGCGGCCTATTTTACACCGGTTAGCAACCTACTATTTTTTTCTTCCATCCATTCATTTTGTTCCATCCGTTTTGCTCCATTGCACGGTGCATAGGATAGATAGAATAGCTTCAACCTAATACAATCTTTTTTGATTGGTTAAAAAGATACTGGACTGTTCCATTAAAAAAAGGGTACATTTCTTTTTATAAAATATCAAATGACAAGAATTTCCATTCAGAAAAAAAGGTAGATTTTTTCCATAAAATATCAAATGACAAGAATTTATTTTAGGTTTGTTAATGATTGTTTATAATGAATGTTTTCTATTTGCTACTTGACTCCGCTTCGTCGAATGGAACAGTCAATCTTTCAACTCATGAAAATATTCTTCGCGTTGCACTCATAAACATTAATTATTAGTATACTGTAATTGTTTTTCTTTTTTAGCTTGATCTATTTTCTTTTTATATACTGTGTTTAATTTCTCAGATCTAACTTGTGACAATGGCATGGTCTACAGTGAATGCAGCTCAGCATGTCCCCGCGTTTGTGAGAATGCAGATTTTGAAGCAGAATGTGATGAGTTCTGTGTTGATGGTTGCATCTGCCCACTAGGTATGCCACAAATTGTAATTTATTCTTCTTAAAGATATATGTGAGGCTAGAAAATGACTCTCAATGTTAGAATATCAAAAATTGATTTTATATTATATTTAGGTAGATCACATTATAAGCTTTAATTTGGTCTTTGGATGGCTTCATCCAGAGATGTGAGCATTTAAATATTATGTGTAAGAGAACCACATTTTGAGAAAATCGGCTTCCAAGATCAACTAACCTGTACAAATAATAGGACTAGAATTACAGAATATGCACAGAGAACACTGTTTTAGTAGGAAAATTCACTTACAAAGTATACAATCATTAAATATAAATATCAAGTTATTCAAAAACATTAAAATCAAAATTGTGTAACATTTTGACTTTGACCTATTTTTGTGATTATCTCAAAGGATTTCACCAACGATGCATCTCATTTCGTGGTGAGACCTCACATATTGTCCCTGAAAATGACAAATATCTCTTTAGCTGAGAGAGCAGCTTAGCTCAGTAATAATGATTATTTTTTTAACCAATGAATTTTTCCCAATAATTATATTTTAGGGACTCTGTTTGATGGTCAGAGTTGTGTATCACGTCCTGAATGCCCATGCTTACATAATGACGAACTCTATCCAGTAGATACTGTGCGTGATAGTGAATGTCGAAGCTGGTATGAATTATGACATTTTAAAAATTGAAATTCAAGTTTGACAAAAAGGGCATAATGAAATTTACCCCAATTGTTATTTTCATCATTATGCTTTTTAGTATGTGTATTTGTGGCAAAGATGAGCCAAACCATTCCCTTCATGTTTCAGAGATAATGCTGGAATGTCAACATTTTTAGAATATATTTTATCGCATTAAACAACTGTGTTGTTGTTTTCCCCATTTTCAATGTTAACACAACAATTTTTACAATTTGGTGATGGTTTCTGCCTAAGAAATGCCTGAAATCATGAACTTTGAAAGCTTATTTCTCAAATATTGTTCTTTAAACAGCTGTATGTCAGATTTAAGTGATTTTTTTACCATTTTGTAGCCCTAATTTTACTTATTAACCCTTTAATAATAACTAAAAATATTTTTTTTTTCAAAGAGTGACCAGTTTGGTTTTGACTTTGCCCCATTTATAGTTGTATGCAAAAACTGTAATATAGTGATGCTCAGGTTGTGTGGATAAATGCTAGGCTAAATTAATGCTGTACTTATACTAAACACATTCTTTTAAAATATAAAGTATTGTTTAGTGCCATTGTCTGTAACATGAATATAGTTTTCAAATTAAAGTTTTTATATTGTAATTAATATTATTAAAAAAAAATATTGGGATGATATTCATGGTGCTTATGACTGTTTTGAGCTGCTACTACACATTGTTGACTGTTAAAATAAAAAAAAAAACGTTGGAACACCTAACTTTTGATGTATATATGCTTTTAGTATTAAGTATTAATTAAGCATTAATCAACCAAGAATTCAGTTAATTATGTTAATTATAATTAATTGTTTATATTTAATTATCTATTGTAAAATTCACCAAAAGATTAACAAGTATTAAACATTTTTGTACTCATTAAATCATGAATATGAACTTTTCTAGCACCTGTCAAGGTGGCAGCTGGAATTGTGTAGATCAAGAATGCGACGGCCGGGGCTCCATCATTGGTGATCACTTCTTCAAAACGTTTGATGACTTCCATTACAAGCTCAGGGGAAATTGTCAGTACATCTTAGCACAATCACGGAACAATGTGGTTGTTGATACGCCATTCTACATTTGGATAGATATGACACCTTGTGCCCAATCTGTTGTGTCTGTACAGTGTATTGCATCTGTTTCGCTACGCATCCATTCAGACTATGTGTACAAGTATGTATATATAATTTTATTCTTAATGATACATATGAAATTCCAAATTTTAACGTAAATGTTAATCAATCTGCTTCCCATTTTCCGTATTCACACTTTTTGTGATTTGTGAGAAACTGGTCTGAATTTGAAGTGCCGCTCTGTGAACAATCATAATATGCGAATCAACAAAAATGTACCAACAAATTCTGAAAAAGTTCATTGAACATGCTTGCAGTTTGTGTCTAATATAGCAACATTTCGCGATTGGTCAACATTTTAATATCATCATTCATGTTAAGTGACAAGAACCTGGCCGATTAGCTGGCATTACACATCGAACTCAAGCGCAGATTTTTTCACTAAATTTAAGATCAAGCTGCACGTTGTACGTCCACAAATGTTAAGACCGCATGAATCGTGTTGGGTGAGAGTCACAAATATGTCATTAAATAGTCTGCCAGTGTACTTTTAATAGTACACAAATCAAATTATATCAGTATCACTATTTGAGTTTAAACTATGTTGAGTTTGGAGAATAAAAACATATTTTCCACATTAAAGTACATCTTTAAAGCCAGACACTCACTGCGAATCGTTAGTTGATGCAATTCTGTTGCAAACCATGGCGTGTGCGCAACAGATCTTTTTAATGACGATTTGCACAGACTCCCACCGACAATCAGCGGGTGTTGTCGCATCGTTTAGCACTCATGGGCAGCGAAGTTGGATTCATTGTATGTCCATCGCACGACTGTCGTACGACGCAAGGATAATTGCAGGCCCATTTGAAATCCTTAAGGATTATTATTCAGCTTTGGAACAATTATTTTTTCACAGGTTACGTTCCAACGGAGACTTTTTGCGGAACAACCAAGTTGTTGGAATTCCCAACGTATACACCGACCAAAACCTTGTCCGTGTACGACGCATTTCAGACTCGTTCATCCGTATTGAGACAGCCATTGGTGTCCAAATTCTTTGGGATGGCGACAGCCAACTGTTTGTCCGCCTTTCACCATCATGGAGAGGAAAGGTAAATTTATATATTCATTGTTCAATTAATTGGGTTTGCAAAGCGGTGAACACATTATATTAAAGAATTTTTCTTGTGAGTCACGTATGAACCGTCTATATGAACCGTCTATATTTAAAATATAGTCCTCATTTCCAAGATATCAACATAGAGAGTAGGGATGGAGGGAAGGTTGTCTAGGTTCTCACTCATAGACTACCAACATCACGATTGATTGGGGTATCTGACAAAAATATAATAAAATACTGTCCATTACAATATTAAATAAGTTGCTTATTTAAAACAATCATGCTGGACAATGCACTCCATGATACAGACTGACTTACAGTGGCCCTATTTATTGTTTTATAGTAGTAATTCCCAAAATTTAGAGCATTCATTTTGAAAAGAAGCCCCTTGCCTCCTCATTACACTGCAAAAGTAGCCTCGAAAAGAAGCCCATCTCGAAAAGAAACCCGTTTCGAAAAGAAGCCCAGGCCTTCTATTCAAGGTTTTGTGGTATCTTTTATTTCCTTATACATACTTGAAATGATAACATAATACCCTGGTTATTAATTAATATGTTTGAAGGGCTAAATTATTTTTAGAGTTGGTCAGATGGGCCATAGATAATCTCAGCCGAGTTGAAAGCAATCGTTATACATCTAGGTGAAACCCTTTCTGCTAATGTAGATCTTATTTGCAATTTGAAATTATAGGGGTCTACTTTTAAATTGTACTAGGCCTATACCAGCGGCCATGACCAAGTTGGGCCAGGGGAAATTTGTGTGTGGACCTTTTATCAGTTTAATCTAAACTAATTCCTCCATGACAGAACAAAGTGCAGAGATGGAACTTGTTGGCACAAATATCAGGGTGATAATACTGTATGACTTGAATTATTTTCATGACAATCAAAATGTATTTTTATAAGCACTGTTCTTTGGTTCACAAGCTGTTTATTATCATATAATAAAATAAGTAGGCTTACGAATGTTATTGACGATAAAACCCAATACCGTAGTTGTGTTTGCCTCTATAATTTAACAAAGGGCTTCTTCTGCCATGGTTCATAAATTGAGCATCAGGACTCTGCAATCCTTAAAATTCTAAACATGTTTAGGGTAAAGTTTTTTTCATTTTTTTATCTGCTAGGTTAAATTTAGCAGAGCTAATAAGAATACCAATCTTGGGAGTTTTTTTTATAATTCAGTTTACCGGGTTTAATTTTAGATCTGATTGTGGTAACCCCTAAATCATAACGGGCTTGAAGCACACAGTGAAGAAGGGGGCCTTCTTCACTGTACTCAGTACTCAGTGACCAATTTTTGGTGCTATTTATTCTATTTATGGCCTACGGCCCTACAGTATACTATCTTGTTCATTTTTAAACCACCCCATGCACATTGCCCAGGGGTTGCATTTTTATCATTACTTTATTGAAAATGTATTCATCAAACTTTTAGTATGTTTTAAATATTTTTTTCATTATTTTTTTTTCTTCACAGGCAAAATTAAATTGCTCAAATGGGCCCACGGGCTGCCTATTAAAAACCAGGGACATAATATATGGATGTTATTAAGCAATATAGTTAGGTTTTGAGTATACTATAGGAAATAGAAACCGACATGTAATTATTTCCTGAAAAAATTGCCAGCAGAACTGAAGGCAATTTTTGAAGGAAATAATAGCTTCTAAGAATATTAGAATTGTTTGTTTAGTAGTATGTGCACTGACACTCTCCACAGAACTCTTCGCTGCTCGTTGCAATACAACAAAGATTGTGGTTAATGAAGTTTATTAGGTGGGCCTAATCTCCTAGGAACATCTATGCAATAGAATAAAATTCATTGTAAACATATTATTGTGAATAATTTCTGCTTTGCCTTATTTTTCAGTTCTTTTATAAGCCAGTTACTTTGGTATTTCATAACCATTATGCTAGGCCTTGCCTACGATGGTCTAGACTTCTTTCATGTAATCAGTGCCGAGAGAGATTTGTTTGGTTCACCGTGTGCATTCAGCTTGGCCTAGCAATGAAATAATCTATCGCAATGTATTGTAGTAAATCCCTACAGCTTTGAACTTTTTGCACACAAGACACAAAAATCATATTGATGTGATCAGTCGGGGATAGGAAACTTCAGTTCAAATGAAAGTGATGACATCACCACTGGCATATGAACATAAATATTGGATTAGTGAAAATTTATATAATGTATAGTTTTAATGCTAATGTCGTGCTCTAATTTAATTGTTATAAATCCTTCATTTTCATTACCAGGTTTCTGGATTGTTTGGCAACTTCGATAGCATTCAGGATAATGATATGTTGACTCCTAGCAACTCTTTATCAGTTCAGCCATTCCGATTTGCTAATGCCTGGAAAAACTCTGCCTCCTGCCCGGATCTTACTGAAGGCGCCTACGGTCAAACAGCTGGCATGTGCTCCTTCTCACAACAGTATGAGCAAAATGCTGAAAGAATCTGTGCGATACTCGGAGAGGCTCCGTTTGATCAATGCCACAACGTGGAGGATTATGAGCCTTACGTGGAAGACTGCAAGAACAGTGTCTGTGCCTGTTGGTCTCGGCAGGATGTTGAGGAAGGTTGTGAATGCCTGGCTTTTGCTGCCTATGCACATGAATGTGCAGTCAAAGGTGTTGTCTTGGATTGGCGAACAGATGAAGTTTGCTGTAAGTAATGGTGAAAAGTGATGGAGAAATTTGTAAAATTTATGTTTTTAGAATATCCTATGTATTAAAATTCACCATTTGCATTGGAACTCAAACCTCATTTAAAAGACTTATATTGGTTTGTCTTTAGATCATGAGTGTCCAGTTGGACAGGTGTACAAGGAATGTGGCGACAGTTGTGAAGTTCTGTGCCGAGAATTGACACTTGGCGATGAGAACTGTGTGAATGAGTGCGTTCCTGGTTGTCAGTGTGCTGAAGGGAACGTAAGTGGGGTTTTTTTTTTCTATTTACATCTAGAGAGGACGTCCTGCACCAATAAAAATCCCCCAGAAAATATCCCATGAAAATTCATGGTATTTGCATGCTTTTTTTTTTTTTTTTTTTTTTTTTTTTTTTTTTTTTTTTTTTTTTTTTTTTTTTTTGTATTTCTCGGGATTAAACACTATTTATTTTAATCATTTTTTCCTTTTCGTTTTTGCTGTAAGAACTTTTTTCTCATTTCTTCATATCTTGTATATATATATATATTAATAAGTACACATGCATAAACACGTAAATGATGCAGATCTTGAAGTCCTGTTTACTATTGGGGGCCCATAAGTTCAAAAGGCTATGAAAGTGTATACCAACATGATACTTCACTTGGTTTTAAATATACCCAAAGTGATGCGTGACATACCTGATACCCTTGATATAAAATACCCTTGATATAAAAATGCAATTTGGAAATCATTATACTATTAAAATTGATCTTTTAAATGTATACCAAACCAAATTTCATTAGCAACTTGTACTTACACATTGTGAAAAAAACTTTTTTTTTTTATCCATGATACACTTTTCCTAAAAAATCACACCCTGTGCTGCTTTCTTGGAAAAAGCTGAACTAACAACAACAAAAGATATGTGTTATTAGATATTGTTAGATGGAAATTACAATAAATATGCATAATCAGCATCTTATAAACTCTATTCATTTTGCAACATTGTGTGATACAAATTCCTTGCCATTCAACACGATCTTAGATATATATATATTACATTTTGCAGAATGGTGATAATCCTAAAAGCCATGCCTTCTTTATGACCTTTTTCATGTTATTTTTTTAGAGATTTTTTATATTTACGTATCTCTACATTGATATTTATTGTAATCTTATTGTCTGTAAAATTGGTATGTGGTACCGTGAAACTTTATAAATATCTTTATTATTATGCATAAGACTGTAGTACGTAGAAATAAAATTTGAAATATATTTCACAGATTTGGGATATTGAACGAGATATGTGTGTACCACTTAGTCAGTGCCATTGTTATCACAATAATGCTGGTTACGAACCTGGTGATACCAGACAAGACCAATGTAACATTTGGTGAGTTTATAGCAGGGCTGGTGGAATGTTTTTCAAAGTGGGGGTCCACTAGTAAGATGAATGGGAATATGAACCAAGGAGAATCTGTGTTAAAATTTAGGGGGTGGGGTCAACATTTTCCCCAAACACCCCAAAAAGGAAGGGAGGTCCGCGAAAATTTTGATTCCTAGATGGCGGAAAATGAGGTTTTCCGACTTTTGAGCTAGGTGTCTTTTAATGACTTTTAAGTACTTCAAAATTCAAGGTTTTTCCCTCTCTTGAAAACGGTCAGGTAAACTTTCTCATTCTTATACAGTAAATGAGCCTGTTATGTGTGTATATACACACAAAAAAAATGAGTAGTTGCAAATGTATTCTTTTTTCCATGAATCGATAAATCCCAAAAAGGAAGCGGTTTCGCCGGCCATGCATAGTTCCTTTTATCTGTCCTGTCAGAGGTTCAGTTTGATGCACAATTGCTTAAAGGTTACTTTATTACATAGAACATCAATTAAATATAAAACATACAAAATAGTCATGACAAATGAATTTGTAATTTTTGTAATTTTTAATAATTTTAGTTGAGTTTAAATGAAAAGTATGATACAGTAAGTATCATACTTTTATTACAATATTATATTACAATATTTTTTACTAGAAAGTATATGATTTTTTGTAAATTTTATGGTTTCATTATTCAGCACATGCCTTGATGGTCGTTGGAGTTGTACAGATAATGATTGCTCTGGTGAGTACACATGAAAACAAACAGTGACCAAACCATACCTTTTAGAGATAGAATTTAAGTCAGAAATTAAGTATTTTTAAATTAATGTTTACCCAGGGACCATTAAGATTGGCCCTCACTAGATTCAACTGAGTGCCATCGGAATATAAAGCTCAGATTAAAAATGTTTGGTGATTCCTAAGGTATAAGAACTTGTAAAGAAGGCAGTAATTAATCTATTATTAATGGAACAAGATTATGCTACTTTCATGACACAGCATGACCGTTACATATTTTGTTTATTTTGTGAATACTTACCTGGATGAACCGATATATGCCAATTTCCTTTTAGGAACTTACCTCAAAAATAATGGAATAGTCCGACCCATGCGTATATAATGCAACACTGTTAAGTAACAGGCCTCAATTTTCCTTTCGCTGTGTGCGCGTGTACACTTACCATTGAACATATTTTATGTGGTTTTAACCTTTAGTGACTCCTGCTTGTGTTGATGGCCGTGTGTGGAGTAACTGCACAGCATGCGAGGGTACATGCGAGAACCTTAGAGTAGACTGCGCCGGAGCTGATTGCCGAGAAGGGTGCGCTTGCCCAAGTCATCAGGTTCAGTACGAGGGTGCATGTATTGATGTGGATCAGTGTCCATGTGAACATCAAGGACGATCCTTTGCACCCAGATCTATGATTTACAGAGACTGTAACAGATGGTGAGTACAGCACAGTGGTGGATTGGGTTGGATGATAAGCAGGCTTATGCCCTTCCTGTTCTCCCCCCCCCCCCTTACA